CCCGGTCACATCACTGTGCCATTTGACACCGAACATTTTGCTGTGTGGCACTGAGAATGGGCAAATTTTGGGTTACTCATGGAAGAGCATAGTGCGTGTGGGCTCTCAAGGGTCACACGGGAGCGGCGGCACGTCTCAATCGGGCGTGGCTGAGGTCGACCTGAAGCCGGAGTTTGCGTTTACAGTGCCCGGCGGGGATGCGCTCTCCAGTGGTGGTGATGTGTTGATGGGGGGCAATGGCGCTGGTGAAGTGAATACGATAGTGAAGCTGCGGGATGGAGACGAGAAGGCTAAAGTGGCGTACGCGGGTGCGATGGATTTCGGCATAAGGGTGGTGGATGCCGAGCGATTTGATAAGGTACGTGGTTGGGGTTGTTGGTTGGGAGTGCAGAGGAGGGGCATTTTGTGGGAGCATTTGTAGGTGGATGTACGATGAGAGGGGTGGGGAGATCTCGCTGGCGGTTAGCTGGAGAACTATATCCTCGTGGTATTGGTAGCAAGTCGGGGAGGTACCCGGTCAATCTGCTTAAAGACGTTTTGCTTAAGGACAGTTTGCGTAAAGACACATTGCCTAACGGACAGTTTGCCTAACGGACAGTTTACCTAACGGACAATTTGCCTAACGGACAGTTTGCGTAAAGACACATTGCCTAACGGACAATTTGCCTAACGGACAGTTTACCTAACGGACAATTTGCCCAACGGACAGTTTGCCTAATTTACGGTTTTTAATGGATATTTCGCCTAACAGGCAAACCGTTCCTTAGGCAGACTGTCTGTTAGGTAAACTGTCCGTTAGGCGATGTGTCTTTAGGCAAACTGTCGTTAAGCAAAATGTCTTCAGGCAGATTGACCGGTCATGGTCTTAGCAGACTGGTGAAATGGATAAGGATCGGTATCGGTCCACACAGCCAATAGGTGCTCCAGTTCGGCCAGAGGTGGGCGGTCCAGATTGACTGTGGACGATCGAGATTGACTAGGAGCGGCCGAGTTTGATTTTAGGTGTTCCAGTTAGATCATGGGTTGTCCAAGCAGCCAATAACTGCATGCTTGTCCAAAATGGCAGCTGCAGGTTGGGTGGGTCGTCTCGGGAATTGTTCAGTTGGTAGCTAAGAGTCTGATGGTGGCCATTAAAGGGTAGAAATTGCAGGTGATCTCAGTGCTCAGTGGTCATCGATCGCACGTGAATGA